CAGGGTCAATTATATCAAATATTCTATTACAGTAACAGTGGTCTTGGATAGATAGAAGAATGAAATTGCACAAGACGAGATTATTGTATACATAAATTTTAAATTTTGTTACTATCGGATATGAACTGATGGGTTTTAAACAGTGACAGCTAAAAATGTATTCATAGTCACCATGTTTTTGACTTCATCATGTCAAAACACAAACTTTTACAAAAGGGGATAGTTATGAACATAGTTGTGAAGTTTCATTCATGACAATTGAATAAGAATGGGGTGGCATGACAACATCATCGGAAAAGCTTACATACATATCAGCAGATTCCAATGTCTTCAAGGACTCATCGCAACGGTGTAATCAATTCTACACTTTTAATTTATGGTATGAATGTAATTAGGAAGTTTTGTCATTGATACACAGTGCAAGACAAACTGCAACAAAGACATATTACAACAATAGATTTATGTTCAAGAAATATTAAGAAAATCAACTTAAATATTCATGATACAACACTCCAATCAAACCAATCCTCTAAGAAACTGGAGAAAGGGAGCAGTACATAACAGATTATATGGTAGATTATACGGTGGAAATAGACCATCTACACACTCAAGGAAATGCAATAACATCAATACTGAAAAAAAAGAATCTACTGGTTTCATTTTAGAAAATTTCCACCATGTATAAATTTGTTTTTAATGCTTGCTTGATGCAGTGGCTGGAAGACCTCTCCGTGTGATTTATTAAAACTTTGATCCCTAAAGTGGTTGTTTTATTACTTCCTTGTTTCTGTATGATCTGTTTATTAGCTGATATTTCCCAGGAGTCCCCAGATTCAAGTTGACCCTTTCACCACTTTAGACCATAATGGATTCATCCATATTAATACATGGTAGAGTCTACTAAAGTTACATAGGGGTTAAAACATTGACCTTCTTTACCTGTACTTACACAAAATGCAAACACAATTTTTCTTGTCACTGCGCCACTAATCCAGTATACTGATATATATATGCATACAACTTTTTTTTCTTTTGTTTAATTTTTTTCCGAACCTTTATATTCTTCAGTTTTGAATTGTTTTATTTTCAACGTATTTGAAATCTACATGGTTGGGTCCTTGATCACAAACATATAATGCAAGTGTACATGTGTCCTTACACAGGATGGGATTCATTCAGCGTTCTTCTCGTTCATTCTCTCTCTTACAAAAACATAAAACAAAGCATTTCAATCCTGCAATCACTCTAATACACCTGTCATACCTTAAAAAATCCTGCGCCTGCTGCTTCAGCAAAAGATCATCACTTCTTTTTTTAATTAGAAATATTCCCTAGAGCTCCAAAAAACATGTAATTTATTGCCATTTAGTCATCATAGAAAAATGTGGTCCTCGCAATTTATCTTATTACTATAAAATGTTCCACCTGCCATCCTGTGTTCATTTCATGCAGTTATGCTTTGGTTACCTGGTAATGTCAGTGTTGATCAGCTTTACAAAAATACTATGACAAGCAAACTAGAGTTAGGTCCCTTGACCTTACTCTCCCTGGACAATGGAGATGGACAGGGACTGCTATAATAGAAACTGTAACCCACAAAGCTATTAAGGAAAAACAACAAATTGTCAAGATTTGCATAAATGCTGTAGTCCGATACATCTAATCTGGTTCTATATAATGTATGACATCGGTGTTGTCAGCTTGACCTCTAAATCAAGAAACTTACTGTTTTACAAAGGTGTGACCATCATATATTTCAGCGTAAAAAAACACTGGCAAACAACTGTCATTTCTATTTGATTGAAATAAATACCAGATTAAGAAATATAGTACAGACAATTTTGAGCACCTTCTGGAATCTGGATCTAACAAGCTAACAATACATTCACGATAGCAAACAATCAACTGCCTAAACCTACCTTGAAATTAAAAGAGTGACTAGAATTTCCCCCACCCTAATTAGACAGGTGGCACTGATGAAAGTAAGGACATGGGACCTGACAGTAATACTGAAGAGGACAAACGGGTCCAAGTTCAAGGTTGCTATAGAATATCTTGTTAATAAATTGACTATCATGGAACGTACTTGATGTGTAACACATGGCACATCTTATCATCCAAACGTCATAATATATCATCTTATATATCACCCACTACACTTACATAATGAATAAGTTATTGTAAGATTATCCATAACACACCATTATCAAAGAACTATTAATAAGATGAAACACATCTCACTGAATATCCAAAAGAAATATTGATTATCCACTAAACATTAACCCTTTCACCACTGTAGACCATAATGGACTCGTCCAGATCAATGTATGGTAGAGTCAACTAAAGTAAACTAGGAGTGAAAGGGTTAACAAACTTTACTGATTATCAACTAAACATAACACATCTACAAATTATCCTCTTGAAATAATGTATCTGATGGATTATCTACTAAACATAACACATTTTATACATTATCCACAAGTCAACTATTATACACTATCCACTGGACATTGTATATGTTACAGACTGTTCATTAGAATTTGCATAATCTTACAACAAATTATCGATTCCTCTAGACATAGATCTGCCTGTTCCCCACATGTCAATATCAGGTTCATTTTAATTCAATCCCAGAAGTCCTTGTTGTTTCTGAATCTGCTTTTCTGTCACTAATCTCGAGAAATTAACATCTAAAATGACCGTTTTCCAGTGATCACGTCCTCTGTCACGATTGTCTTATAAAACCTCCCACAACATTGTCATTTTTCACTGAAACATTACCAGCTACTTCGCCTCCATTTTGAACACAGGAAGTTCAAGGCTTATTGAATGCACCCCTCTTGTGTTTTTGCAAGCGTGTAGTGCACTTATTAAGTCGAATGTGGTATTTTTAGATTCTTAACGACATTGGCGATTTTCATTCTGACTTAGACTCATTCTGGATCGTTTGAAGTTCTGACTTTCAAGATTGGAACTTTATGAAATCATTACAGACATATCTAGGAGCGTTTCTGTAAATGATACCAAGAAATCTCCGCCCCGCCCCGAGTGTCACCAATGGCTGACAGGGAGATGGACACAGTAGGGGGCCACATCTGTTACAGACATTTCAACATGGCAAGACAGACACACCATTCCAAACAAATTACAGAAGAAACAGGAGCCTGTAAAGGTTAGGTTTGCATCGCTCACCAAGTCTCATCCAAATGTAAGCTCTCAGTTTTATTCCAAGTCTCATTATACGTCAGCTCAAAGAATGCTTATAAGCATCATCAAACTAAAATGCTTAAGATAGTATTTCTTTTTAATCAAAAGCTCAAAGCTTAATAATAAGGTTCATTAAAATGCGAGCTCTCAGTTAGATTCAAAGTCTCATTAAATGTAAGCTCTAAAGTTGATTCCAAGTCTCATCCAACGTCATCTCAAAGAATGCTTATAAGCATCATCATATTAAAACACTTAAAGCTTGAACGAAGAACGATTTTTGCTGCTTAAAGCACTTAAGATTGTAATTTTTTGAAGTATAAGCTTTCAGCTCGATTATAAGTCTCATTAAAATATATTAGAACTCAGTTTGATTCTAAGCATCATCAAATATAAACTTAATGACACATGTCTCAACAAATGTCAACTCAAAGCTTGATAATAAGCCTTGTCAATCTTAAACATTCAACTTAAGATTGTAATTACTTTTAAACATAAGCTCTAAGCTTGATTTTAAGTCTCATTAAATAAAATCTTTAATCTTAGTTCCAAGTCTTGCAAAATGCAAGCTCTTAATGTGATTCTTAGCATCATCAAACTGAAACACTTAACCTTTTCACCCCTAGGTGACTTTAGTGGATTCTACCATGCATTTCTTGGGATGAGTCTATTATGGTCTACAGTGGTGAAAGAGTTAAGATTCAAACTCTATTAAGATTCTCAAACTCTCAGCCTGATTACATGTTTAATCAGCCACAAGTCCAAACACAGATTGAATGGCTCATAAAATGTAAGCTCTCAGCTTATACCAAGTTTCCTCAAACCCAAAGACTAACTCTTTTTACAACATAAGCACTAAGCATGATTTTAAGCCTCATTAAACATGAAATCAAATACCGATTTCATGTCTCATTAATCATCAGGGGCTGTATTCATAAAATCGTTCTCATCCTCAGACTCATATTCTCTGCTCAGGCCCAATTTCTTATTAAGGTCATAAATTAATAATTAATCACATTTCGTTCATGATTTTAAAGAATTTTGGGGGACTTCAACCCAAATACCCATTTCATTGTTACCACTTGACTGTTTTTTTGGACCACGTCACATGATTTAAGTGAGTGACAAGTAAGCTGGTTTGAGTACAGAACCCATGCTTGAGCATGAGAACGGTTTCGTGACTAAGGGCCCAGCTCTAAGCTTGATAGTAACTCTTAAGCTTCATTTCAAGTCTCATAAAATGCAAAAAAAATCCAAACTTCAAATCACGTTCTTACAGCCCCTTACAATCAACATAATTAATTTAAAAATCACAATCCACATAAAACTCTAGGCTGTTGAAAACTTTGTAGCCTAACTGAAAAATATGTAGCAATACTTTCTGAGTGACTTACAAATTCTGTATATACCAAATAATTCCAGTTTTACCTGAAATATTTTCATTTAGATGTGATCAATAACCATGATGAACTTATACTATATGTTATCAAAGCTAGTTTTACTGACATAGAACTGAAATGAAGTTCAGAACACACATCGCATGCCATACAAGGTCGTAGATACAAATTTAATATTTTATTATGTCATCAAAAAAGTTGAAACGTCACAAAACAATTTTTACAAGTAAATGAAACATTTCATCAACAAAACTAAAACTATGATTAGAAGTCTGTTGAATTGTGAATCTAAAACTCATTGTGCATAATTGCATAACAATTAATGCTTCAATCCTAAATGTCGCTACCATCGTATGCGTCGCCGCTATCATTTACACAGGACATTGAGACGTCACTTACCTATTAGAGATTACTAAACAACTGTTCAGTCAAACTGTCAGTGATCTTCTCCGCTGTCTCCGATGTTTTGTTAGCGTTACTACGGCAACCGCTTGTTTGTTTGTCCCTCAGTTGTGGCTCCTGCTGCCTTTATACTTCACCAATCTACAAAGATGGTAGCGAGAATTTCTTAATATATGCTGTCAACTGTAGGAGGCAGTATCACCAGCGCAGTGACAGGGCGAGATCAATAGAGTTTAGTCAAGGTATGGCCTGGTCTATCTCCCGCCACCAACTAGCTCCATGCTCAACCTCCTTTTTTATGGGCGCAAATGTACTTAAATTCTCCTTTAGAACATGGTAGAAAATGATTGGTCCAATTTAGCGTCAAAGTGTTGACACATTTTTAGGCTGTGAATTTGTTAATTAGAGATTATTGACATTGAGGAATATTCGTGACCAGCTCCATCCCTCCCCACGGGGTTTAACTATGTAATAGGGCACACTATGTAGACCTACCCATTCGTTTTCCAATTTAACGCAGAAATCTCTGCTGTGATGACCATAAACTGGTCCCAATGATGCGTCTTACTGAAACTTTTGATAAAATTATAGCTCACCAAAAATCTAATTTGGCCCAGCCTGTTGGCTGCTGCTAGCTCGGTTGTGGTGACATTTCACATTAAGTTCTTTCAAGGGAAAAACAAATTCTCCCACTGGTATCTGAAGCTTCACTCTCATTTGCATCTAATTTAAGTCATTATAATAACAACATTTCTATTCTGAAAAATTCAAACTCCTTAATCAGAATAAATCATTTCTGAGAGTAAACCTCTCTCTGGTTGCCTTTCGATGGCTCTTTGTAAAGCACATCCTCCTTAACCTCAATTAAACAGAGATGTTCACATTTTATTTATATTTTAAAAGGCTAATTCATCAAAACATTTCATTTCTGATAATGAGAATAAGATATGGGTTCAACAACCACCCAAGTAGTTGTATCTGTAGGTAGTAAACCTCTCCCTGACACAGTGCAATGAAGACAAATACAGACGAATGGTTTTAAATCACGCTTCTTCATTTTTTACCCTGTTGAGAGCAGCACAATCACTTGTCCCTAATGACTTATCATTATCCTACTTTGCAAAAGTGCAAGTTGGGATGGGATTATTTAGCTGCCATTGTTACGTTTTGTCGAATTTTTCATGCCGATCTTTCATTATCTACGGAAGGAGCCAAATTTGGCAATTTTTGTTAGTCATGGCACCATAGTTCTACAGATTGGTACAGCTTATCTTCTTACCCGCCCTACATGATACATGGCTTGTTACTCTCTTAATCGGGTTACCTTCGTAGAACACATTCAAATTAAGCGAAATGAAATCAGCCAGCTACTGTGGATAAATCCTTGCAATGAATAATTCCCAGAATACCTGTAAAAGTACGAACCTAGAATTTTCCAACCTCGATACAAAAGGATCGCAGTACTGTTACCTTGTAATCTAATATCTGTCATTAAAGTTCATGTGTATAAAATCGAATGTCAACAAAAAATCGTAAACACCTCTGACAATTTTGCGGAGCCTTTTTCTCCTAAATATTGAAAACGTATATTAAACCATGCATTTTAGTTTTTATTCTCTTGGCTTGAAGTGAAATACTAAGGCATGCCTCTTTATTGAATGTGGTTCTATTGTAAATACTGTTCTGTCAGCTTTATATTTTCATTTGATTTCAGAAATTATTGGCTGTCAAATGTTTATAATAGTTTTATCCTACCCAACTGCTCATCATGATGGAGCTTCGAAATATCTTCAGCTTCATGAATTTTTTATGATGTGATTTTTTTTTTATTGGTGTTTTGTTCCACTTTTCTATGAAAGGGGTCTGTTTTTATGGGGCCATGACTGCGACAAACTTGTACTTTCCTTTTTACCGCAAGGTTCATGATGAGGAAAACGAGTGTGAAAGGTTGTTATGTGTTGAGCATGTCTGGGAGAATATTGTCACATCGTCACCCTTAGTCTCGTTTGGAGACAGAACACAGAAACAAGAGTCAGACTTTTGTTCACAAGATCCAGGCCTGGTCTGTCTCGTTTATTCCATTATTAAAAACATTTCCTTTAGCAATATAATGATACTAGAAACTTGTACTTTTTAAAGAAACAAATATGTTTTTAGAAATTAGATTTAGATCTTTAGATTTTCAAAAGATAAGTTCTCCAATATTTTTGGCAAAACTTCATTTTAGAAAATTCTAACATTTGCAAATACAGCAAAAGCAAAGCAACCACTAAACATGTTTGCTTGAATTAACCGTTCAGATTATACAAGTCTCGTTCAGTTAGAAATGTATATATCATTGGCCTGGTGAAAGTTGAGAGGTTCAACATGCCTCAGCCAATCAGAAAAATCTCTTCGGGTTTGAAAAAAAAACGAAAGGGGAAAAAGGCACATTAGAAATGTTATATACATGTAGGCAGATTTTAAAACATTTATGAGAAAACACTGCTTGGTCAGGACTATGATAGAAACATTGGCAGAGGGTTAAGTTAAAAATGGCCAGATGGAAATTTTAAAGAAATAGAAAATATCTGAACCAATGAGGTTGTGGTGAACATCATCAACAGGTCATGAGATGATGATCATTTGTAGGAACTTTTGTCAAAATATTTCGTCCCATTTTCCCTTCAGTTATACAAACTCTTGAATCCTTTTGGCCCCAGAATGCTCCATGCCTAATTATGTCACAAGAAGTAGTGCTTTGAAGGTTTACTTTGATTTCCCCTTTTTGCGTGCAGGTGGGTCATCCCCTTCATAATTCAATAATTACCTCCCTTAGACATTTCTTTGCCAAAATTCAGTCAAAATGTCTTCACCAATATTTAAGTAGTTTTTCAATATCAACCCCTTTAACTATTTCCCATTGTGGGAGCCGCCCCCTGTCCCCCGGGGAACAACAGCCTCCATTTAAACAACGCTGAATTTCCTTTTCCCAAGGATACTTAATGCCACATAAGGTCAAAACCCTTTTACCAATATTAAAGAAGAAAACCTTTTAAACCTTTTCCTCTATTTTCCCCTTTTGGACACTGTCCCCAAGTCTCCTTTGGGCCAGGTGAGTTAAAATTCTACCAGAAGTACAAAATCAGTTTTCTGGGTCATGTGACATGAAACCATGGATAGAGGTTTCCAGCTAATGATCACTTGAGTTGATCAACCATTGGTCTTTTCCTCATATTGTGATCAAATGTCTATAAAAGAGAAATTCAATCAAATTCAAAACACAATATTCCAGTGTGCCCTTTGGCCCATCTCTTCTTCCTTCATGTAACTATGGATACAAACAATTTACTTTAATTGCATATTAATTCCTAATTTCTTACTTAATGAACAATAAAATTGACATGATAGAATGTTGTGTGTGACAATAGTGGTTGTCCCCCCTACCCCATAGGTAACTACAACTGTCAATTATGATAGTTTTGTGTTTGTAAACAAAAGTTAATTGACAAAGGCATGACAGGATCAGATGAAGAGTTTGGAGAAGAGAGATACGCATTTATGTTTGACATCTATAGGCATTGTACAGAAACCCAGTTTTGGTATGAGATATTACAGGTTTATTAGGGGAAAGAGTTTTGGTATACTAGTAAATATACTGTATTTATCCTAATAAGAGCACATGCCTTGATATTAGGGTGCCCCCACCCTTTTTCTGAAGTTATTGACACATGAGAGGATCACTTATAACTTAACATTTTTGGCAGCAATCCCAGAGTTAGGGGAAGACAGAGTTCTACTATAAGCACACATCCTAGCAGACCTGGGGAACTGTTAGTATATAATATTGTATATATCTGTAGCAGAAATCTCCAGATAAATTACTTAACAAGGGCGCCCCTTCTCTCCATTACCTGGCACCTGCTCCCTTATTAGCTCAAATACAGTATGTTTGAAATTTTCAAAACACTCATAAAGTTCAGTAAAATATTTTCAGATATATATGTAATCAATCCATTCAAGGATAATTCAGTTTCAGGAGTACTTTGTATAATATGGAGATTATTTCACACTGTTTTCCTGTAACAATACACTTATCCATGGAATAAATTAATGGTCAACCATTGACTACCAGGCTGCTCCCATCATTTTTTCGAATTACCAGTCACTTCCCTTTAAAGAATAATCATTCTTAGTGTAGCCGTAAGTTCCTACTGTCCCCTTTAACTTCAATCAACAAAAAAGGTAATCAGGTCACACTTTTCTATTGCGTTTCCAAGGCACTTAATAGTTGTATTCCTTGCACCAACTCATATTGAAATGTTGACATTATATTTCCTTTATTTTTTAATTATATATCTCAGGTGAACAACACTAAACATCACTTATTGTTTTTGAGAGACATTTAACAGCTCCTATGCGGTGCATAAACAATCAAATATAATTCACAATGACAGTTGACGATTGGTGAAAAACGTAGCCCGAAACAAGTTTTTAAAGCTAAGACATGAACAGTTATTTCCCTTGAATATAGCTGGAAGCCCCTTGTGGCTCTGTTGACGGTTTTAATGGTTTCCTCCCTTGCAACATGTAAGAGAATTTAAAACAATTGATGTTTATATATTTTTGGTGGAAAAATAAACAACAAAATGTCTAAAAAATGCAATGGTTTGAATGTCATGGTCTAAAATTTAGACAAGACCTTTTCCCTACCTAAACCTCCGTCAATAAAATCTTTACATGGTGTTAGGGTTATGTTTATTTTTCAAATCACGTAAATGCAGTGTAAAGAAAGCACAAGGCCACAACTATACGCTCCTATATGCAAATCAGTAGATGTGATTGATACGCGACCAACAGATTCGGGCCCTGGTGGGTTGTAACTGTTGTAGGAGGTGAGAAATGAGGCACCCTCTGTCGACTCCTAACAACGTGAGCTATCTGTCCTCATCATCACCCGTGGGGGCCTCAGGGACCCATCACATGCAATCAATACTCAGTAGTGAGATGTTCAATCTCAGGCAACCAATGTTTGGGGCTCCCAAGAGGGGAATCGTTAAATGTATTTACAATCATTGCACCGAACGACCTGTATGCATGCAGGTTGGATTCGAGCATTGCTTAAAATGATGCGTCGTTAGATCAGATGTTGTTTCTACTCA